GAAGTGCAATTATGCAATTTATATACCATGTTACCATATTTTACAATTGAATATCTGTCTAGGTTGGAGGCCATTGCTTCTAGGTAGGGGGGCAAAGCGGCCTTCTATAAAGTCCTTTAGAAACGTGATTTTGCCGATTTGCGGCTGGGGAATCAAGTAACAGCGACCGGAAGGGCGGAGTTGACCAAACATGGGCAGCAGGGTGATGGAAGGCTTGATGGCAAGTCCTGCTGCAAGTTCCTGCCCATAATGGCACCATGCCCAACCGCGAATCATCAATCCATCCCAAAAACACAAGTGCTCTTAAAGTCTTCATCTATATACAAACGGCTCAGGACTTCAACCAAACCTTGCTTAAGGGTTCTTACCCCTCCATACACTCGCCCCTTGTAGCCAGTGCCAAACCCCAACCGAATCCCACCGCTGACCCCGGCCATTCGCGGAGCAATACCAAGTGTCGTTCGCACAAGGGCAGGGGCGGTGCACGTTTGGAAGTTGACTTATCACGTGAGTGAGTGTTCACCAAGGTGTGCTCAATGCGGTGGCCCAGCTGCCAGTGAAGATATGCCTGGAGCAGCTGACGGGTTCAATAGTATATATATATAACGATAAGTATTGATGTTTCTGTTAAACATATAGTCTATGAAACCGATTAATTGTAGTTTAATTAACCAATATGTTGATATACAGTATTGTGTTTTCCTAACAAACATCTAACACTTAATAGAACTACTATGAACTACTATGTATCCTCATGTGTAAAGTTTGTTTAACAGAACAACATTGCTTGACACACATGCAACATATTCTATAATAACTATGTTCATGCCCGATAATTCCACAAAGATATCAAAGAGTCAATTGGAGATCTTGCAAAACACATATTTAGCAAAAAAACGATAAATCCAGATATTATAGATATGCTAAAAGCCTATTAAATTCACATTACTCAGGCCATGCACGTGAACAAATCTGATAGTGAAAAACATGTATTGTAAAAATGTGTCTTGTAATGAAGGAACTATAATATACAAAATATAGAACGGTGGACATACTACAAAATTAAGATAATCTGTTACTAAAACAAGGAGCATCCCTTTCCTGTATAAAAACAAAACAATTCAAACACATGAACACACTATTGGTGGTAAAACTGCTATGACCAATTTAACTGATAAGTTACAGGAAGAAGTGGCTGAGCTTTTGGGGGACCTCCCAGCCAAATGCCACAGGTCAAGAGATGTGGCGGAAGCAAAATCGACGTTCGAAGATGACCGGAGTGCTGAGACGCATGGCACTACCGTGCCCCGGTGGGGGGTCAACGAAGAAGAGTGTCTGGTCGACGTACTGACCACCTCGACAAGAACACATTCCTGTAACCTTTTGGCCCACACACACACCAAGGCATTTGGTCCGTGATGCTCGTTGGTTCAGCAGAAACACGTCGCCGTCTGCACCATCCTGCCCACACCAAGCCCGCGAGTATCAAGTGTCAGATCGTAAGCACTTGATCGCTTCACCATGGGATCATGCAAAGCAATCAAGGTTTTCCATACACAATCTACCACCCAGATTACATGGGTTCGATAGATTTCTGGTAGCTGCTAGTCCTGTCCAACCCACAAATATTGGATGGCATTGGTGGGACATCACAGGTCTGCACCACAGCGGCAAAATTGCTGCTCCGTCACCCAGGTAGTGGGTGTATTCAGAGCAGGTGGGCTACAACCTCCTAGTTGTAACATACTTTACTGTACCTACAAAGTCCGCAGCTCTCTGGAAAAAGCCATGTGGCAACTCTCGAAGTGGCAAACCGGAGAACCCACCTTTAGACGCGACGTGATGAGAGACCTCCATCCACTGCACACGTAAAGAAATGGATGTTTCCCCAACTGTATGTGATCCATTGTATGAGAGACCTCCAACTGGATGTTTTCCCCAACTGTATGAGAGACCTCCATCCACTGTATGTGATCCATTTCCCTTTTTTAAGGATCACAAAGCTGAGTGACCTGCAGCCACTGTATGCACAGCCTCTGCAGGCCAACCGCTAGTTCTCTTTGACTAGTTGGCTGCGTGAGAATAACAAAATGGATCACAGAACGGAACAACCATGTGTCTCTGGATGTCTCTGGATCTCTCTGGTTCCCAGGTGTACCGTACTGGCGCATCCGACGCACGAATCCCACGCCTCGCCCGAGCTTGAGGATGCATGGGAGTCCTGGTTCCGTCGCGCGGGGTTCCGTCGCCGGTTCCATCGCTCAGACTTTGCAGTCAGTGGAGGGGGCAGTGCGGTGGAACGGCAGTTGCTAAACGTTTGTGATGAGCTATGATGAGTTGCTCGGCACATGCCAAACGAAGCTAGTTTGCGGAGCGCCAATTGGGAGGGTGGTATTGGATCAGGTCAACGTGACGTGTCTCAAGGATGACTTCGTGAACCGGTCTTTCCTGTCCAGACTTGATGCGAACCCCAGTGATTAACTCAATGGAATGAACAGCCTCCCCATCTGCCCCCTCAGTTCGATCCAGGTCGACCCCGGCGAAACACGAAAACATGGGACCATCACGCCCGTCTAAGCCATTCAACGTGGTACCCGAAACATGGGTGCTGTCGGTTTCGTGGCTTGTCTGTTCACCGCTGGTCGCCCTCTGTGCCGTCTGCAGATCTGGGCCAACGGCGCCTGTGGCTTCAGAACCAGAGCCGCCGAGCGAGATTCCATGAGATCCCAAAGGCTTTGGACTTTGGCCGAGATTCCCCTGGCCAAGCAGCACACATGTGAATGTTCTCATGCTTGGATAGCACACTTCAAGCACCTAACGGCCCCATGAGGACGGTGAAAAGCGGTCCGCATCTGTGCACCTGGGGGGGCTCCCCTGCCCCCTGGGATGACAAGCGGGCAAGCCATGTGCCATGCCCAGGACTCTCTCCACACCACTCTGTTGATATCCACTGGTTAGCGTCATAGAATATCACCATTGACCATTTGGGGATGTTAACAGCTATAATTCCTCGGCTACTCCCTGTTGTTGTCACATGTTGCAACCACAAATGGGTGGAAAACGATTTCAACCACCGATGACTCACGGAAACACTGGAAGCCCCTGTGGAAGGTGCAACTCATCGTGACAAGCATGAATGGCGCTAACAAAGCCCAAAATGAAAAAGAACACGAAACATTGACAATGACTTCACCAGGATGTCCAGGATTTCAACTTCCTGTTCAAGAACCACATCCTGTTCATCCAGGCAGCACCAGCGAACACACCAAAACATGACTCATGCCAAAAGGAAGAAATCCACCTGCACGGATACACAGAAGGAAACTCCGTCGCCTTGGTGCATAGCTTTGACCCAGGTCCACGCAGTTCTCGTTCAAGACCGATACCAAGTCATGGATCCTTTTCGGCCTGACGGACCAGGGCTGAGAGGTCTGAAGGACCGGGTCCAATCGGCTAGGTCGACTCACAGGTCAACTCTTCATCGTTCTGCCAAGAGACAATCGATGGACCAATTCAACAATAGCAACATATGGGCCACATGTTGCCCCACTGCTAGATGCAGGTCAACAACTACTTCCAGGACGGATTCTCTGAGTAAGTAGATGCCTTGGAGGCAGGGGATGTTTAGGAGGGCATGCACTTAAAAGTCTCCCCAGAGCCCACACATCGTGGTACAACCAACCATCCTCACCACTGATGTTGAATGCCAGGTCATCTCGCGCAAGCCCCCCACGCCTGAGGTGCGTGTACTCCTCTCCAACACCGCTCTGTGTCATACTTCGCCTCATTGCCCTCGTCCGGGGTTTTCGGATGGTTGAGGTCCAGGTTCCAGAGTAGATGGCATTGGCACCCCAAGATGTCTTTTGTATAGAGGTCCATGTAAACCACCGAACTTGGGGATTGTGCCATCTACTCTGAAACCACTGTCTCAACAGTAGTTGGAACATCACCTGTTTGCTTGGACACTGGGCTGCCTGTGGTTCGACCAGCCTTCTTGTTTGGGAGGCATGAGTTCCAGTGAGTTCGACATCAGCAAAGGTAAAGAGTTCCTTGTTCTAATGGACCAACAATTTCACGCACTTGTCATGCTCTAGCCATGCCCTGACCAAACCCGGGCATTGACGCATTGTTTGAGGATGATTTCCACCCACCTGGCCGAAGCCAGGGACACCAAACCGGGATCCAACCAAGTACCTGGGCGGATCGGCCCGAAGACCCAGCGCCTGCGAGTGCGAGGTCCTGGTCATGACAGGAATGAAACGGTGAGGATGTTGGGAGCCGAAATGCCTTCGGTGTGGCATGGCTTGGAGTGGCATGGCTTGGAGTGGCGTCTGCTCCCAAACTCTGCCTGGTGTGCTCCCAAATCCCACTCCCGTGCCTGGTTTCAAGGAGCGGTGCCACCATGGCTACAAGACCACCTTTTCTCTCACACCTCGCTCGCTGAAAGGAGACCATTTCCCCTTCGGTCGCCTGACGCGCATCAAGAACCACTGACTCGCCTCCCAAAGATCCATCGGTCTTAGGTGCGCACGAAAACAACTGGAACTCGATTCAACGACCGAAGCCCATCCGAAACTGGTATTTGTTCAGGAGATGCTTTAGCGCTGCCATAGCCACATGATGTACAAACGGGCCAAGGACTTTGAATCCCACGGATTCAACACAGTGCGAACACCCGAGAGTGTGGCCCATGGGATGTCTCTCCTGGCATCTTTCGCATCTATACCAAGCTTCTGGAGCCATGCGAGTAGCAAAGCCTCCTCAAAATATAGCCGATATAGACTGCAATTACTGGCATCCTGGTAGAGACATCTCAGCACTAGTGATACAGGGCATTCATCATGCATAGGCCTCTTGGCCGGATGATCAATTATCCGTCTCACCCGAAATAGAAGAAGCTGACCGAACATGCCCAAAACTTCTACTCTACCGACTTCAAATCCATCTCAAAGAATGGGAAGGTCATTTGGTTGTTTGTCTCGCAACTGCATTAATGGCTACCTGAGTCTGAACAGCTCAATATCATTGGCTGAGATGGAGACCGCAAAGGGCGGCCAGGCGCCGGCGCATCTGATCCGACGGACACCGTCCGACGGATCAAACCACGTCCAACGCTACGAGTTGACCTCGGTGCTCCATCTGTGCATCTTTGCGGCGTGCTTTTGATAGCTGGGATGACCCAAGATTGGAATGACCGAAGGCAGTGGGTAGACAACATCCTAAACAACCCAAAGCAATTGATATCACTCCCTGTTCGCGGTGCCACCTGTGAGCTTCTGTCTTGGCTGAGGGTAATCACCGGAAACGTAAGTTACTATGCAGCTCTGAGATGTTCTGAGGCATCTGTCCAACACCGGAAGGATCGGATGATTAACATAGCACCTGACAGTCTGACAGCCAGATGTTTGCTGAGAGAAACCGGTTGTCTATAGTTGTCGATATAAATACTTTAGATCTCCGCATCAATGTGGTGTTATGCCAGATCCAATGCTGCTGGTTCTTGGTTCATCAACCTCCTTAGTCTTCCAACACGTTAAGGCGCCTGCCACAAATCCCCACAAAGGGCCCACAATGATAGTGAACTTCTGTCCAGTTTGCACCTCTCTAATCGACCAGTTTCTCCTCTGGGTACCTCAAAGGAACTGAGAACATCGAACATGTGTTTGTGAAGTTCAGGCATCTGCTTCTTCCTTTTGCCAGGGCAGTTGCACAAGTTTCGATGTACAGGTTGTACCCCAAAGATTCCTTGCATCATCTTTCACATCTCGATATCTGCTCCGTATGGTGCATTTTGCTACATGTGGCGTTCACGTCTGCACACACCATTGCACACCGACAAACAGATCACTAACATGTCCACAAATACCACTCATCCCGGACTCATCCCCACAACATTCCATTGTTTCACTGTTTCACTCCACCCGAACTCTCCATCGCCCAGTGACTCCCTAGCCGCGCTTCGCTGTCCTCCTTCGCCCGCTTCGCGGTCACATCGGTGTCCACGACCGGGCGCTTCGTACGGCGGTCGGGCGCCAGGCAGGGCAGCTGCTTGGCGTCGCGGAGAAGAAACCTGCCGGGAAGGCGGGTCGGATCCGTTGGATGGCGCTTCGGGTGCGAGTCGCTGAGGAACCATCAGCAAGGCAATGCGCAGTGCTACAAGCAAGTGATTGAAGGATAGTGAATTCGTGGCTCCTTATTGTTGGTCTCCTTGCCTCAAGAAAATGCACCTTCCTTTTGGACCTGGTCTTCCTTCCAAACGCCACCAATGGCATACCATGACATACCACCGCCATGACCTGAATCTTCCAGGACCTGCTTCGCCAAGTAGCTCGCTGCGGCAGTCCTCGAAGCTGAAGAGGGGATGGAACTCAAAGCCGTGCCACTTCAACCTGACGAAGCCGTGGGAAGTTGCTGGGCTCCATGGAGAAGTCGGGAGTTGCGTCTTGTCATGAATCATGAAGACTTCTTCCCGGAAGCATCTAATCTCGACACATCATCTAATCTAATCGATAGACATCGATACTAACACCGATAACACTTGGGTCGCTATGTGAAAGATCTGGATCACTGGGTTGTGCAGGAATTCAGAATGGTCTCCCAGGCTCCCATGTCCCATGTCTTGGATGGTGACTCAAAAGACCCATGCTGTCTGCAGGAAGTGTGAAAAAAAGACTCAGTGCAAGACTGAGGATCCACACCTAGGTCCACCACAAGCGGACTTGTGATTCTGCTCCAGGTTTGGAGTCCGAAGCGAAACTCAAAAGGTACATCATGTGACTCCCAAGTCTCAAGTCAGTCTCCCTTTTATCCGTACATATCGATGTTAGGTCCTCCCTTCTCTCCCATTTCTCGCCTGTCAATGAGCTCCTCCACCGGAGTCCGCTCCGCCTCCTTCGCGGATCGGGCCGCAGTGGATCCTCCGCCATGCGGAGCTGGCGGATCGGCTGTGGTGGATGCACTGCTCTCGGGGCACTGCCGAGCTCGCTGCACTAAGGTGCTGAGCTCCTGGCGTTGGTTCAGGTGCTCGGCATTTGGAAGATATATGATATATGTAGCTTCTTGCTCCTAGTAGTAAGGCCAGGAAAGCCGCCCAGTACTCACCCCTTTCATTCGAGTATCGAGTTGTCTTCGGGGCCAACTTTGTCTGACGATTGAACTTATGAGAACATGTGTCTTCCCACAAAGCTCATCCTACACATGCAAGCCAAAGAACTTGTGTCACACCTTCATAAATCTATCTGCGCCAGCGCCGCAGATGGCAACATATTGGAAACTGGGCAAAGGCATTCTTCTAGTTACTTCATTCTGTTCTGTTACTTTCGGATTCCGCTCTTTGGGATTTTGACCCGCGAACCTGCCCTACTATTTCATCGGTGTCCTGCACGCTGCGATTCAACAATCCACAGGCATCAGCCGCCATCTCCGCATACTTCCGTGGCTGTAGCAGCCGCAGTTCCGACAGCAAACCTGCAGAGTGAGGTACCGACCTTGAGGTCTCCAAACAGGCGAATCCATCATTTGGACACAACGGCTTTTAGACTAGGATGTAAACGGGATGAACAACAAGAGCTGTCAATTCGCACTTAGCCGTTTTTCTTGCATTCTATATCAAATGCTATCCAATTGCTCAAGGGCGATGACGGCAAACTATATATCCAAACGGGCAGGAAGGTCTCGCCTCTCCTCTTTTGAAAGCTGGTCGCGATTTGAGGCCTAGCTTCCGGCTTCTGGAGGAGCTGTTAGTTGGCAACGGGTCATGGAGTGTACTGCGTGCACTATGACAATCTGATAACCTTCCAAGTCAGCATTGAGATTACATCTTATCATGGCCTCGGCCATTCCCCATTTTTTCTCTAACTTTTTGTGCAAAGTGCAAACAAGTTTTCCGTGAACCAATTTATACGACTCATTAAATATGGCACTGTATACAGTACTATAATGCCTATACTCTATACTATATAATTACAACGTATTACAACAATGTTGGATGTTGCTTGTCTTCCTCCTAGCTTCGCCTTTTGCGCCAAGCTTCGCTTCCTTGACCTCGACTTCCTTCACTTCCGCCTCTGCTCTCTCTGCCGTCGGCGCTGGCGTGCGTGGCGCAGGTGTCAGTCCAGGCGCAGGCGTGGCCGGTGCCGCCAGAGGTGGTGCTTCAGCCCTTGGAAGAAATGCTCTTTGCTGGTGGTGGATCCGCCGCCCCGTCGGACAAAAAAAGCGGACACAAACCATGTCGAAATCATGCTTGCTCCCCATTGCAGCTGGGGGAGAGTCTTTCATGTCTAACTGCATCGACAAATCCATGAACTTTAAACAAGTCCATCTAAGCATTGTGCCAAGGGTTGGCGTAACTGCGCCCAGGTCGAAGAAAATGGATGTCCATGGAATTCATGTCTGAGATGTCACATCACCACCGACCCGGTCACCTCCGACCCGGGCGAGCTCTCGATGCTCGGCGAACACCTCCTCGAAGCCCAGTCTCCCTCGAAGCTTCAGGAGCTCTCGCTGACCGATGGGACATTCCCCACCTGCGAAAGCCGCGAAACACCACGGAACACGAGCGAAACCAAGGAGCAAAACAACGGAAAGCCGCAAAACCACGGATGTTCTATGGTGCGAAAGCTGCCTCTTCCACCAAACACATGTAGAGCGCCAGTCAAACAACTCACCGTTGGGAGCGCCACTTTTCCGGAGGAATGGATGGCCATTCGTTCTCGTCTGCTCCAGCTTTGTCTGCCAAAAATGCATTCCAATGGATGTTTGCCACCCCAGCCTAGAAACCCACTAGAAATAAGAATTTCAAGCGGAATGGACCGGACCAAAGGAATGAACATCAGGATCCACTCATCCATGTATCGGATTGGATTCCACTGCCGTCTGCAATTTCACCGCTTGGTCCAAGGTTTTTCGACCAGTGACCTCGTCCTGGCTGGTTGGAGTGGCAACAAAGAACACGTTTCGAGCCACTGGGTGACCACAACACACAGGACGCACATGGAACTCCAGCAGGGCCTGAGTCATTGGCAAAGCAAAAGACTGACTGAAAGACTGCACTCCAAGTGACTCTCCATATGCCGAAGGAAGTTCTGCAAGACGCGAAAAGTGCGATCACACTTGCAAAAGCTGCACCTGAGCTGGTTCAGGAGATGATGATAAAACAATATAGAACGACTGGTCCAGGCTTTGATGGGGGTAAGCTGTCGTTCAATAAGCATGCTCACACCAAGTCACTATTAGCAAGCAAAGGTACAGTAGATCAGGACAACATTAGGGTGAAAACTGGCATCACAAATCATAAGCTAGTACCAAATTAGTATCAATCTGTATCAATGGCTTGGTGTGCTCGAGTGCCGAATCGCATTAATCAGCGGCAGCACGTTGAAAAAAGTACAAACTACCAAGTGACAACCAGTGCGGATGGAATCTCAGCAGCTGTAAAGCCTGTTTGTTGCTCTGACCAGTCATGTTGTACATCTCCAGAACGCAAGCCAACACGAGCCCATCAGAACTCCAAATGAACGCGCTTCAAAGAATCTGCTTTGGATCAAAGAAATGCTTAAAAACAATCACCCACGTGATTTACCAGTTTTTTTCCACTCCTCTTTCAGGGCATTCTGCCCAGCTCAACATCCAGTCACCCACCAGTGACAGGCCAAGGCACATCATGTATGACACTCCTTCAGTTGGATCCTCCACTGGCGTAAAAGGCAGTCGCCCCCCTCCCGATCCACCGACGTGTCGGGGCCAAGGGAGGGTTTGCTCTGGAAGAAGACGCATGTGAGGCCGGTAGCGCTGGTATGTCCTCAGCGACAGGATACGAATGCGACAGGATAGCGCTGGTTTTTCTGCGCGCGAATCAGTGCGATTCGAAAGGTCACGACAGGAAAGTATCATGACGGTACTATGCCGTCATACCTTTTTTAAGCATCATCCACTGAACAGGCATAAATATCAAGAGTTGGGAAAGTTGTGTCCATCATGTTCCTCTTTGGGCCTCTGGTGTCCGGTGTCCCTGAATCCATTTTTTCCTCACCCGGAATCTCTGAAATCGCGGTGATTTTCCACTGCAGGAGAGGTGGAAGGAGCCCTGGTATGTCAAAGTTCTTTAGGCAAAGTCCACTGGTGACCAAAACCACATGAAATCAGGGGACGATAGATGTCGCTGGAATCTCCGAGATCAACTTCTCAACCAATCCCAGGCTGAGTCCGTACAAACAAACGCTGACCTTTTTGCATCTGCTCACAATACAATCCCCGCCCGCTCGTCACACAAATGGTGGAAATCTCATATGCTCTCATGGAAGCCTACGTAACATGATTTCATACCAACACGAACCGAAATGCCAAGCTGTGCCTGTCACGTCTCGTCCAAGCTGAGCAACCTTGGCCGTGCCAGGCGCTGCGAAGCCTCTTGCGACGCCGGCACAAGCTCACAACACCCGGAGGCTGCTTGTGCCGAGGTTGGAGGTCGTGCCACTGGCGCCAGCTCGTTGGTGGGGGCGGCGATCGCGGTGGTCTCTGGTCGCATCCAAAGTGCTCGGTGCACTTGGGAATCCTCCACCTGATCAATGAAGGAAAAAATGTGTTTGTCACGTGTGACACATCACAGCCTGTCTTGAGATGAGTGGTTCTTGTGCGATGTGAGCTTCCCAAGTGGATAAGACTCCAATGAGACATGGACCAAACTCAAAGTTCGGATGACCCAAAGGTTATATTAAGCGATTTAGTCTTAGTCAACCGGCGACATGTCACAAGCAATCGATCAAGCTTTCCTGATGCATCATCCTCATCTTCATCCTCATCCTCATCATCATCATCAGCAGCAGCAGCCGCAGCAGCAGCAGCAGCAGCCGCAGGATCGCGCCTGAGTTGCACTTTGAGACTCCTGAATCTCTGACCTGCAAGGACCGATGCACGCGTCGTTCCGCGCAGGCCGCCTGGGGGTAGACGATGGACCACCGGTCAAGAGCGGTGCTCCATAGGGCGGCCAGTCAATGATCCACTTAATTACAAAACCATGTTCACTGAACATGGGGGAGTAGGACGTAAATACCCAAGTACTGAGGGCCAATGAAGGGCGGTCAAAAAAACATATGTTCTGAGAGTACCTAGATAACAAGCAACAGCTCCCATCTGTACACTCGCGGCGGTTTCGCGACAGTTTCGTCCCAGATCTTTGTCCCTTCGACCTTTGTGACACCAAATGACACGCTCAAATCCAAAACCGCACCTCACTTCCCCGGGGATGGTCTCAGCATCAGAAAGCTGCGACATAGCTCTGGCAGCGAAGGGAGTTCCGAAGGCTTTAAAGCTGCTGCACTTATGATGTTCGAGGAGCATCGTAGTGCCTTGAAGCTATCCAGTCATTACTGCGGAGCAGACCAAACTTTTCACTGATTGACAAATTGATGTTGGTCTGAACTGTGCTTGACACCCAAGGTGTGTAAACCCCCTGTTTGCCGTCCAACTCAAAAAGGAGTTGAAAAAGCAATGGCCGGGCAGTTGAACAGGACCTTGAAAGGCTGGCCATGCCCAAATGGCTGTGTTGAACACAAAACACTAAAGCGATCCTGCTTGGCTTCTCCACGGCCCCAAAGGGTAGCCCATACACTCGCTGTGGCCGCTCCAAGCCGAAATCTCGAGGCGGGTGACACAAAGGCCCATGGGTTTCATCTGTGTTATGTTTATCTTTGGGTCCTGTGCTTTGGTGAAAGTCTCCTTCATGGACCGAAGATTTATGTTCTTTTGATGTCTCAAAGGTAGGGCCAGGTAGGGTAGAAGGGGAGTAGAAGGGGATCTTTACTGAGCTCCTGGGCCCAGTGAACTCTGTATCAGTTGCAAACTGAGTCCCAAGGGTCGGTTTCTTCATATTCGAGCCCGTGCACACACGGGAGGCTTCGCCTCTGCGAAGTCTTTCGTTCATATGATGTGAGAAAGGCTGAGTCATCCCCTGCTGTTTGAAAGCTGTAGACCGTTGATCAGGGCCCCCAACAAAGCCCCTCCCAAAAGTTGGATGCTTTTGGGGCAGCTGGCGGTCTCCGGGGCGCCCGCACCAACTCCTCCAGGAAGAGCTCCAAGGGTTCGCTGGCACGACGACCTTCAATGAGGTGCGCCTCCAGCAGGTCGAACCGGTCACCATGGTCCCACCGTGGAACCCGAACCGGAGCGAAAAAACGCGGTTTCGCGGGTTCGGATCGACTCCAACAAACGAAAAATGAAGAACTAGGTAACTAGCTCGAACACTTCACTTCATGTGAGTGACTGACATATTTACCTGCATTAGGGTGGTTTCAGGGGTCAATGTATATACAGTAAATAACATAATATATTTGTATTATAAACATATAGGCGCAGTATACATTCCCTGGGTACGCATGGCCTGCAATCCCTTGCGTTTGACGGTTTGCGGGACGTGTCAGTGTGACAAATCAAAGCAGTGGAAAGGATGAGTCCTTTTGCGACGCTGCAACTTATCGATGGATTTCAGGAGACTAGGATCGGCACTTCAACACGATTGCACTGGTCACAAGTGTGCAAAGCCGAACCCATTCATTGGTTGCAATGACATGGGCTTGAGACAGGACAGGCCATCAGTCTAGGACCCTGCAACCTGTCCAAGGCAGGTCGCAAAAATCACCTGGAACACTGGAAGGAAACAAATGAAGGGCATGTGGGGCCTCAAAAACATATCAAAAAATGGCTCAAGGCTGATCGAACTCACGTAGCCAAGGTATGCTGCTAAAGCATGCTGTTTGAAGCTACCTTCCATGATGACACAATCCTGCTATAAAGACTTACTTATACAGTTTACAAAGCATTATACATAAAGATACATAAAGCCACCTTCTACTGATCACACCAGAAGCTTCAGCAGTGAAAGGACGTTGGAAGTTTTTCAACCAATCACTGCAAACCACCTGCGGACCCTGAATGTGTGGTGACCTCGAGAAAATGACTGCCTCCGGGACGGATTCCATTGGTCAACTTTCAAACCATCACTATGTTCATGTTGGCTGCCAGGGCACCTTGAAGTTGAATAATTAATGGATCACCCTCCCACCAACAAAAGGTCGATGGGTGCCAAGCGACCCAAGCGCCGGATGCTACCGAACATGCTTCGCCCCGGATGCTCAGCCGAGGAACTGCGACCTCACCGGTGATGCCCACCAGTAGGGAGTCCTTGGCACGACCGGGACCGTTGCTTTGCGGAAGCCGTTTGGGCGAACGTGACGATCATGAAGTTACATATCCATGAGGTTAAAATGGGTCAAGATGGTTAACTATTGTGCATATTCGTGAACTTACGGAAACACACTTGCAACCCCAGTTTGAAACAATGTATGTATGCAAACCTGGCCTTGTCCATGAACTCCAGGTCAGTCACCGCCTTGGACAAGAATGTCCAAATGCTTCGACATTCAGTAAGAGATGTGGCGAGTCCCTGGAATGCTCATCTCTGTGTCATTGCAGAATCTGTGGCTATCACAGCCAGCCACTGGGTTGGCAGTGTTCCATTCCACCCCTTTTCATTCAAAGTAAACTCGGTCTGTGGAGCAAAGCAAGAGCCGAAAAAGAAGTGCCCCGTCGCACTTAAAGGGTCTTCCACCGATGGACTCGTCTCAGACCCGGACCTCGGTCTTGCCCGTCCTCAGCATCGGACCGACTCCGGTTGGACCGACTCCATTGGACTGGAAGAACCTTGCCCTTCCCAACAGCGAAAAAGGAATCGGTCCCCAGGGACCCTGGGTCTGGTAAACACACATGGATGGTCTGGGTACCTTTCCCCGCATCTTGTGGCCATTGCTTCCAGCTGGATCTTCGGGCGAAAACCATCCTGCAGGATCTTCGGGCTCCAACCGTGACGGCGCAAATCAACTCCAGCTGCATGTCTCCCACCCGTGCTGTGTTGACGGGGTCTTTTGAGTCCAAACCGACAGAATCGAGTCGAACTCGCTTCGATTTCGACATGCATACCGCATATCGTCCAATGTCAGGGAAGCCAACTCACTATAATTGACTCTTAGTGGCAGGAAATGGACGAACTTGCAGGAGTTTCTAAGTCACAAAGTGCGGCGTTTCTCACTTTCATGTTCTCGATGCAGCATACCCGCCAATCGTCGCTTGGGTATTTCTGTGATCTTCTGCGGGCATCAACCCAGTTCATCCCCAGTTCGATCATTTTCTCAAGCAGACCAGCCAATCCTGCCAGGTTCTTTGCAGGCAGCGCAGCTCACATTCTTTGTGGCCGGTCACTCGGGCACTCGGGCAACTCATGATCACGTCAAGATCGATGTGGTTTGGTGAGCTATGGTGAGCTGCATACATCAACCTATCAAGCGCTAGAAAACCCTTCTAAACTTAAATCTGAAGTAGAACCATGGAGGTACCATTTAATAATTTGATGATCGAATTCTCATACTTGGTCTACTGCTGTCTGGTGCCTCGTCTCAGTTTGCGAGGGACCAGTGGCCAGTCACACCTTGCTCCTCGTGATGCATGAGTCGATTCCATACCGTCAGACTCAGACGTTCCAGGATCCACGTCACGGATCGATGAACCGACGAAGGTCGAATCGACGAAGGTCGATACGTTCGTCGATTTAGTATGCCTCAGACACACTTGATCCAGTCGATCCAATTTGACTTTCAGTTCGCACTCGTGGCACTTGTTGCGCTGGCTGTGACAGAGTCCCTGGCGCCTCAGGGTGCCGGGCGGAGAAACCCTGAAAAACAATATGATGTGAGCTGTTAGGTGGCAAAGCTGATGGATGATGATCTCAGATGCTGATAGCAATTGGAAAAACAACCCATGCACCACGATTGCGACCCTCGTTTCCTTTTCTTAAGCATGACACGCCGCTGGGTCTGCGCTTATATCACGATGAGTAAACGCGCTTGGGGTTGGGGGTATGTGATGTGGTGTATTTTTGCTGAATCGTGACGTTCACGTTCTTCTGTCCAGCGAATCCGAAAAGCTCTTAACAAATCGACTCTTGCATGAGCTGGGTGGGTGTGGGATGACCCCACATGACCAGTATCATTTCCAGCGACAAATCGTGAGTCCATTGCTAGAGTCTAAAGGGTTCAGTACAAAATGAGCTGGAAAACAAACGTGACGTGTGCAGTGGACATGTTCGCGAACAGTCCTCTAGCTTGAGCGTAAAGTGGTTGAGCATCATTCTCTGACCTGAATCCCAAGGAGGACACGTTTGACAAAATCCTGCCGTGCTCAAACTCCTATGGGAATTCCAAAGCAATCCTGAGCTGGGCAAAGTCCAGAACCAATTCAATAAAACAACGCTTGATTTAGAGGATGATCGGACGGCTATCTTGTAGGTGCCGCCCCCAAGAACAATTGCTGAAAAGAGCCAAGCTGCCGTTGCGGTTCTGGAAATTCTGCATCATTCTATTCTGATTGACCTTCACTTGCTGTGGGTAGCCGGCCTTGGTATCAAACGAATCGGGATGCCGCTGTCGCGGGGCGCATCTGAAGTGTCAAAGGCTGATCATCCTCAACCCTTGCAATGAGTGGATTCCAACGGGTCAATGCAGGCGGAATCACCTTTGAACAGTGGAAAGCTTCAAACGCCTCGCACCAACTCGCGGATTCCATGTCTTGGAACCGACCCAATTCCAACTTGCGGATTCAAGGCACTTGAAAATATGGACAGTTGTATAGCATACTATACAACATATTACTGCAGTACGGAGTGTTCTTGACATGTTCCGTGACTTGGGGGCATCCCCCCCATTGACACAACATGTTTCAACTCCCAAGATGGGAGTAGCCTCAGCCTCGAAACCCAGATGCCTCCAGCGACAACCTTTTGAAATGTTCCACGCTCTCGAGATGCTGCCTGAACCTGAGATCCAGAATCAGCTGGTCAAAATCAACATCCTCACAGCTCGTGAAAAAACAAGTGCAACCCCTCCCGGTGGGCAAACACAAGCTGTTGTAGGGATAGGCTTATATTATATGTATGGCATTTGATCTGCCTCCACTGAAAATAACAGCCAATGTGAGCTGTCACACACAACCTTGGATGTGAGAGGTGCTTGGGGTGGACAAGTTTGCCTCCGCACCGGCCCGAAAAGCAACAGTTCTAGTTCCTTGAAGTAACAGTAACATTGTTATGTTCAGAGCTCAGGTCCACTGACCACAGCACGAACCTCATGTCATTCTGGCGATTCGAGTTCGCCCGACCGGTCTGTCCAGTCCACATCCCAAAAACGTGCCATCTCGCTTCTGAAGTCCAAACGAAAAAGAGAGCCTGATGGTTCACCAGAAAAAGAAGGGGCGAAGCGAATCGCCTCTGGCAAAAACATGGCAATGAAGCACATTATCTGAGCAATTGGAAGTGAAGTCCGCCATGCCCAACCCTTGTAGATCCTGAGGGTTTTGTTAAGAGTCTTATCCCGTGGGCCAGTCTTGCACAGTCTTGTGAGACTACGCGGGTGTCGCGTCATCACGAATCCGGCCCGGCTTGTCTCTGTTTGGAGTGAAACTACAATTCAATCATGTGATAGATCTGCCATTAGCAGATTGAAGACAACAAACAACCAAAAGCGTACACACGCATGTCTCGTTAGATGAATACACCGAACAATGACCATATGCATCCAGATGCCATTGTTTTGTGGTTACAAGTCCCCCAAACGAACTCCAACGATTTGAAGTGGGACACCCTCTGTCGAACAGTTCTGGTCTGTCCGCCCGGCCGCTGCGCCAAGTTCTCAAAGCCGATCCGACAAATCGAGCAGCCGAGGTCCTCACGGGTGCCCCACGTCTGGACGATGTTGAGGGATCCAACAGAACTGTCCCAGAATGTGTTTCACCTGCCTGTTTTCATGACGTTCACTCACCAAAAAGCATCTTCAGGAATCTTCAGGATGGAATTGATTGATTGGGACTTACGTGGTTCAACAGAACACGTATTCACAAAAACGTCGTGTTGGAAGAACGCACGTGGCGTTGGCGTCAAGTCAAAGCCTCTCCTCTGGACGCACCGGGAGGCGTGCGAGAGTTGCTTCAATCTCAACAGGATCGCTCTCCTCAGTGCATCCAGTTTTATGAACATCATGGTCGATCAAGGGGCTCGGGACACTCTCGAACGTCGGCAAGGTCTGCAGAAACATGGTAGGTAGCAGTTGGTCCATAGGCGCCTAGAGCAAATTCATGAATACAGTAAACTCTGTACAGCAATATTGTCTAGTCGGTACTGTCTATAATTTGTCCGACTCTTCAACTCGTGCCACTCTTCTAAGTTCCCATCCAACAAGCTACGTCTGGCCATGGTGTGTGTGTGTGTGCGTGTGTGTTTGTGTGTGTCAGTGTGTGATGCGGACCTCCCCAAAACCCATCTGCCATGTCACCAGTCGGTTTCTCCAAAAGAACTCCGCCTCGCTGATGGACTGCGGCGCCGGCAGTGCGGGATACGGCGCTGGTGCCGGAGCTGGTGGATGCGGCGGAGCTGGCAGCGCCGGGGCATCAACGGATGGGAGCTTCGACCACTTGTCGCGCGGAGCAGCAGAAGGATTGCCCTTCAAGATCATGATTGCACCTCAGGTGCGGCACGACCGTGCTGGTCTCACACGCAGAACAGCTTCAATCCTGGAGTTAAATATACTAATATAATAATATACATGTCATAATATCTTCTTAAAACTGTCCTGCCACCGAAAACTTACCTGTGGCATCTCCATTCGCCAAGCAGCCAGTGATGTGAAACCAGCGAACAGCACCACCTGGCCGGCCAGGTGGGCAACGGGCCGAGCGTCAGCCCGTCACACACACCCTGCTTGGTCCGTGCGCACGGCGGCACTTGCCCCGCCCTCCACCCATTCTCCACCCGGCCTGGCACCAGCCATTCTTCAGTCCAATCGCGATCCGTTGCAACTTTGACAATGTCTATGTTAGGCCTCAATCCTTAGTGCAAAGACCATGGCATGCCAATTGTTGACTTGAGTGTGATGAACATATGATGAAAAAGGATATGTCAAAAAATCAACCGACCTCCTCTGAAGTATATACAATATACATACATGCATATATCACCACACATCCCTGGTGAAGCAAATAAATAGCCAGCATGACACGGAAGATCATGAACGAACAAATAAAGCGATCACATCACCCACAGTAGGGCAGGGACAACCTGTTCAATCAACTTGTCCCCGCAAAAAAAGTTGCCATTTCAGTTCTAGACTTCGCGCTGAATGAGGCGCCGCACCTGACTTCAGGCCAACCTTTAAGCCCAACCTTAAGGACCTTCCTCGCTGAAGGACGCATCGGACCTCCCGTCGCATCGCCCAGCTTCGGTCGCTGAGGTGTGTAAAATGCTTGCTCGCAGGAAGGTGCCCGCAAAAGTCGCCCGCCGACGGGCAAAATTTGCAGTCTGGATAGATCTGGTCGCGAGAGGGCGTGTGAGGGAGATCGTTTCAATTTGTTTGTTGGCATTTGGGCATATTTTGGGCCTTGGATGGCTTTGGATCTGGAAGTGAGGTCCCCCACAACCAATTGAGGCTTGTCATCTTGAAGATCTTAGATTCTTAGATTGCTGCCCAATCATGGAGTCACGCACTTTGCCAATTGACAGCCATAATCTTCAGATACTGTATCTTTAAACAGTTCTTAAGCAACAACACACGTGCTTAAGATGAATCATCCGACCCGGCGGCTTCACGAACCACAACATCCAACATCCCACGAGCCATGCACCACGGAACTTCCCAGCTTGCGCATTCGAAAACCCACGGAACTTCATGATCCCCCACTGCTCCCGCGTGCACTGCTCCCCTCAATCCAACCCAAAGACGTGGCCTGCGGCCCTACAGCCCTGGCTCCACTGGCATCTGCACGTTTCATTCCCTATGAACTGCGGATCACTTTCGACTCGCCTGGTACTGCTCCAAAATGGGATGCAACGCATTGACCGCGTCCTGGCCGAGGAGACACCGCAGCCGAAGCGGTGCACGATACTGCACCGTTCGTACACGAAGCCCCATGAAGCCCTTGCTTGCTACCGAGCCCAATTCCAACCAAAGTATACATTCAAGACCTACGAAACACAGCATGGCACTGCACTATTTGCACCCGCCTGAGCCACCACCTGAAATGCCTCTATGTCCCAGGTCCCCCCTTACATTCGAACCCAAACCAAAAAAGGCTTACCAGCAGAGGTCATCGACCAGCTCCTGCATTGCGCGCTTCCAATTCCCTTTGGACTGGAGCCACTGACAGGTGCTGTAATCTCCACCTGTGCCGCCGAGTGACGCTGCCCCAAGCCAATACCCGATTTCCGATCGAAATGGGGGTAGAGTCGCCTGAAACAGGAATTTGTTGACAAAAAAGGATGGTGATAGCATATGATATCTCAATTAAACAAAACAGAACACATGTTGGTGTGAAAAGGGGCCACAAAAGAGCGGCAGGTGCTGCTTTCGTTGCAGCAACCAACCTTTGCGGTAAAAGAGTCGCGTATACGTTTTTGCCATCACATGTACAACCACTGGGAGTGTTCCCCCCAACCTCCCAACTAATATATGATTAGAACACCAGTGGAGAACACATCTGCACCCGGTGCGGCGGTGGGCAGTGCACCTCCAGGACCCCACCCACTACCATCGGCCCAATCGCCCGGTCACCGGCCTCGCAGGGTTGGAATGCCCACGTGTTCCCGGTAGACATACCAAGTGTCGGGCTTTGGGCACAGGTCCTTCGCACGACACGGGCGGCGCATGGTCATGGGGCACGGGGGCGAGAGCTCGGATCGAAATGGAGGATCCTTTTTTTGGTGAAGGTATGGGCAACGACCTTCGGAAGGACAATGATGACATTGTAAATGTGGATATGAAGGAATATGGAACCAATAGCAACTGGTTCAGCTTGCTAGTGGTTTGCACCCACAATGCTTTCCAAGCGACTATGAGGCTACCAGCACGGCCTCTGGCTGCGCAACATGGACCTCAAAATCGCTGGTGTGCAGCAGGCACTTTACGAATAGTAATCGAAACTCCTTTTGGCAAATCCGCGATAGTGCAATGTTTTTCATGTAGCATGACTGAGCTGGACGATGAGTCAGGATTCTGCAGGAAACCCAGCTGGGTTCCCTTCGATGCAGTCTTTCTGGTTGCTGAACCTTCGCCATTCAACCTTCCCAACATCACGAAACGCCCGACCGATCGACCGACCAGGTTCGCCTGAGGTCGCAGGTGAGGAAGATGTGTTGGCCGGACACATGGCTGGAACGTGGCCTGGGGCGTGAGAATCTCCAATTATAGTGGGGAAACATGCTTCAGGTAGTGCAATTCTTTGTGATTTCAACATATTTAGACAGTCTGAGTCTCGTCCGCCACAGTTATATATCATCAATTATGAAGGTCACATAATTGGATGAACATGGATGAACTCATCAACACTCACGCAAACGGCATTGTGGCATACCACATGACTTTGGCCTGCAGGCATTTTCTGCTTGGACCAGTGTCACTATATAAAATCGTTTGCCGAGTCTGAGCATGATCCAAACCCATGTGCCTGCACTGCTGATTGGGGGCATAGGAGCACTTGTAGCAGCCTGCCTAGGGAGAAACATCCGTGCAATGAATATACATAATTGAGGCCAAGTCAAGTGCAAGAGAATTTCCGTGCAAGTCAATGCAAAGTTCCGTGTAGGTTTATAGGTCGCAGGAAACTGCGCGGCGTCACAACCCTCATTCCGCCAAGTGTCCATGCTTCTGGGTGGCTGTGTGGAGAGCTCAAAGATGAGTCAAATACAAGAGTCCAATTATAGAAACCTGGACGTGTTTGGGTGCAGCGGATTCTGCCAAGATGCTGGCCCCAAATACCAGTAGGGGCTCCTCACGATCCGAATGGGCTCAAAGAACATCATCAAATGCATACACTGGGCACCATAAAATATCGGGACCTAATAGCAAAAGGAACTAAAGGAACCTCTATACTATAGCGATGGCCTACACCCTTAGACGTGATGGCCTCCAACCTAATAGCCAACGCTCTGCTGGACCTCTCTTTTTGGCTCCCTGTCTCTGTCATCACCCTCCTCTTCAAGGAGGCGAATCAAAGCTGATGGCTAGAAACACTCTCTACACGCAAACATTGCTGGGCACAAGCGGACAGCAGCCTCGAAGTGTCGAAGATTTCCCTTTGTTTCATTGGATAGTGAGCTGGACGTGTTTGAACAAACACTATTTCGACTATTTCTGTATCTAGCTACTGTATCCTAACTCTAAGATATAGCATCCCGGGAAAGCGAACTATCGGGCCTGAGGCCGTACCTTTGCACATCCAGATCGAGCCATCAATGTAGTTGAATTTCACTCTGCCTGGCCAGAGTCCCGACCAAATCCACTGGCAGCAGGATGAGGTGCTTTTTGCGATCAAAGGTCGAAAAGGAGTACGCGATTCTGGCCTCAAATCATGCTTATTGGTGCCTTAATTACAACATTCCGGAAACACAAAACAACAAACCCTTAATTTCCTGATGTGTGGACGAATGGGGTGTCGACCTTCGAAAAAAGGGCTCTGTTCAACCTCCTCTGCCGCTCTCCGATGGCCTCGGGGGATCTGCCACTCCTGCGACCAATCCCGAATGACGCCATCAATGTCCACGTTTTCTGCGCACAGCTTTCCAATCTCCTGCGACGTGGGTTGACCTTCACATGTCCACCTGAAAACAGGAAGCGGTTGTTGAACCGGTTTTTTCGTGGGTTGAGAGTTGCCAGTCAGTCTACATCTTGGAGAATGCCGCTGAATTGCAAGAAACTCCTCCAGCTGGGCGCCTAGGCACCTCTGCGCAACTCATAGGGTATCAAGAACCGAGGAAAGCCAGCTTCATGTCAACCCATGTGAACACCAAGACCTTTTTCCGATCACTTCTAGCCAAGCGCATGGCTAAAACTGGGAAGAAACCCTATCCTACTGGCTCTTTAGAGGATAGAGACTGTTCTGCCACAATGGGTTTCCACCAGGAATCTCAAAAAAACCCTAACATGTGCCATGCGCCCGAGCGACATAGGGGATCTGAACGGTTCTCCCCAGTTTCCCATTCGCGCTCTCTCTCTCTCGCTCTCTCTCTCTCTCTGTGTCCCTATCTTCGCACCTTGAAGTGAGTGGGCGCCACCAGGTGGATTGCCCAATTGGAGGGCGGTCCAGCCCCGGCTCTTTGGCAAACCAGGCAGTGGTCGATATGCACCGCACGCCTTGGGATGGCACGAGCCCTTGGCTTGATGGGATTCCTATTTTGCCATCGACATCCATGCGATGCGCACCCCAGCGGGGTGGAAAGTTCAGTCTGGAGTGGCTTTCGTTTGCTTTTGGTCGTTTGTGTGTTCCACCAACGCTCTGGGCCGCAACACACATGGCCAACGTCCATAGGGTTCTGACGAAGGATGACCGTCCCAAGATTGACCACCACTTGAGATGGACATGGTGCGGCTATCAATTTCAGGTGGCAGTGACACCAAACATTCTGTACCCGCGCAGTCATCAAAGGTTCAGTTGCCCCTATAGCCTATGGTTCCAGTGTGACATAGTAACACGGTTGATTCCACAATGATTGAAAACACTGCCCTGACGCGTAGCATTTAGCCAAAACGGTGTAGCCTGTTCTATGGCTTGCTTCGCCAGCCGGAACTGCCCGACGTTTTTTGCCTTGAAAGAGTAGGGAGCCGGGCGAACCTCCACCTGGACTTGGGGTCCATCACATTTTCCTATGCTAGAAGACAAACAGCAATATATTAATATACATATATATGTATATATATTATGTACTTATAATGACTGAGTGGCTGTGCACACATCTTGTGTTGTACAATGACTTTCATGTATGATTGACAGGTGGCAAGTAACATGCTTCACATTCTTCAACCCTTCCAGTGTGCAAACCAGGGTGTTGCAAAAGAGCGCTTCTGTTCAACAAAGCTGCTCACTTCAAACATTCACCCGGTGATCAACTACCACACGGCCCAGGCCCCAACTCTCCTTGTACAAAAACGTTCACCATCCAGGTGTCGAAACAATGAAGTCAACACCAAAAAACAAGCTGCCCGGAGCCACCGGAGCCACCCGGCCGACCCATGCCCAGCTGCTTCTGCAAATAGGTGTCCAGAAGCTGTGCTCGAAGTCCCATGCCCCGCTTCCAGGCGTCCTGACGAAAGGACTCGAGGACCGCGAGATCCGCGGATGGCGAGTGGACCGGAAGGAACGTAGCCCTGGACCGCTGACCGCGCGGCGATTCCCGAGGAGATGGGAAGACGTGGGAAGATCTCTTAGTTGAGTAACTCATGGTTCAATTCCTGGACTTCTGTTTGGGGCATGGTATTTCAGAAGAACAGCTGAATAGGTGCACCTAGTAAGGAACTACCAACAGCCAATGTTCATCGGCATGTTGAATCGGAAGGTGCAGCATCATGGCAGGTTTTTGCAGCCATCAGATTCTACCATCACATGGGGCCTTTCAAATCAACGCCCTTTGGAACGGCTGTCGCTGCTGCTGGTGCCTGCATAGATGTATAACATCGTATAACTCTCAGACGGACTTTCAGGGTGCCTTGCCGGCAACCACCAAATGGCCTGAAGATTATAAGCTTCCTTTCCCGGTGGAAGATGTCTTGCTCACGTGTCACTTTTTGAGCATCGCCAAGGTCGTTTGTACAGAACGATGCAGCTGTTCAGCAGCCATCTTGGCTGCCGCGAATCTGAATGTCTCAAGGACTTGGGGGCTCTGGGATGCTCTGGGGCCAGTTCCGTGATTTCACCTGGTCTACACTGCACACCAACATGAAAAGAATCGCCTACCACTTGAGATGCATGGTTTGCTTGAGACCCATTCTTCGACCCACGGTCACCTCCTTGCAGGTCACTCGCAAGTAGCGAGATCTAGACACTGAAACTGCAGAAACCTCACCCTCCAATCTCCCACCTCAGTTTCAATGTGCAAGGAAGAATCACCAGTCCTCTGAAGGCCGTAGCTGCTACACAATCCACATCTCAACATGTCCATGCCACGCCGGCAATGACTTCCAGGTCGTTTGGCCACATCACAGGTCCCCCCCCCTTAAGAGATACATCCAGGTGGCGAGATGTTCGCACTCAAAATTCAACTCGGTTGGTCGACGGTCCAGGAGCTTCCAGCTTTGCGATTCGCAGCTTCACAGTTTTGACCCCAATGCCGAAGATGGAAGCTGGATCCATGAAGATTCACCGAAGGTGTGTTGGCTACTTCTGTACCAAGTCACGTGCTGCAATGTTATGTTAGATATATATATATATATAGATATAGATAGATGAATCAATCTTCATGGCAACCTGGTCATCCACCATTCATGTGGTTGCCTACTTAAAGAAGAACCGACGCTATGAAGCACAAAAAGACCGGGAAGCTCCCAGTTGTCTCAGGCGCCTCCCAGCCGTGAGGAATGGGCATCTGCCAGCTGTAGCAGGGCGTGCACAGCCAACGACACGCCATCCGTGGCACTAAAGGATGCGGCGTACTTCCTGGGATTTGGCTTTGCAAAAAGGGGCCGAACGGGACGAATGTCCGAACACATCCGCAGCGTATTGAGATGATTGGATCATTTTTTTACGACGTGGCGGTGGTCGTTTCAAGGCATAAAGAACACAATGAACAACACACCCTCTCTGAATCAGGTCTGGTATCATGGCCATCTCCTTGAAGCTTGGTTCACTCTTCACTTTCCTCAAGGCACCAGCTGTGGCACTACGATACCTTGCAATCGCATCTGCAGCTTCTTCCAAAGGCCCCATCGGGCGGTCAACTTTCAATCCTGGACGAATGACGCCCACAAAAGTGGCATCGTGACAAGAGGAGTGTTAAACAAATACCAGCAAATCCAGCAAACAAGAAACAAAAGCTGCCCAAACAAGTGATGTTCACACCTTGAAAACGCCATGCCCATGGACGATTAGCCGATTAGCCATGCCCATGCCAGGCCGGTGGTCCCACGGCACCGTTCCCCCGGTCCTATTCCCAAGGCCTCAGCCTTTGCCGCATTGACTGGTTGATCCGCGAAGCCAGGGCAAACCACCAAGGGACAACCTTGTGACAAAGCTTCCATAAAGCTGTTTTGACCGCCATGAGTGAGGAAAAGCTCCACGCCAAGTCTAAGCAAGTCCACTTGAGGAAGCGTGGGGCTGCAGAACACATTCGCCTCATGGCTTAGAACTGTCTGCACGAACCAACGATACAGGAGGGGTCTGTGGAGAACAAGGGGGCTCCACAATTCAAATACAATGCAAAATAAGCAAAAAACTCAGGCTGAACAGCAACTATCTGAGCGAGATGTGCCCCTTTGGGCCCTTTGCCCTCGAAACCCACAAGATCAGCCGTCAGGAACTGCGAGCATGAGGGCTGTGCCCTTCCCATCCTTCCCTTCCCAACCTCTTGAGAACGCTAGGTGGCTGGAATCTCCAAGGCCTCCAAAGCATCAGCCTGTGGCCCCTGCGCCAGTAAAACGAGCGCCTCTCCCGTGCCAAAGACATCAAAGACTCCTTGCCAGGCAGCATGGCAAAGCCTACAGTAGCTGGTTCGCCAGCTGTGTTTCGTCGATCGGGGTCCCAACTTTTGTGGTGTGTGTGTCACCTAGATGCATAGGGCAATGGCATATGATGCGGAGTATCTCAATCCTTGTGACAAACTAGAGCTAACAAACCCAACATCCAAAAACATGCAACGAGCCAAGAATACATCGCCCAGCAACTCTTTCCCTGAGATACCTCGCTTCTCTCCATCGACGGTGAAATGTGCATTCCAACCATAGTCCGAGTGGTCGCCGGTGATAATTGTGCCGAGACTTACCTGTGCCGGTGGCCAAGAGAACCAACCTCCCAGCCCGCGCCTCTTTCCAAGAAATCAACATACAATAACATACATAGATGGTACTGTATAGATGAGCTCATATGAGCTCTGACCGAACACCACTTGGCAAGAGGGCAGTAATCTTCCAGGAGTTCATGAAAATCGCCACTGCTGGGGAACTGGACCACAGAACTGAACACCAAGAAGTTGGAAAGGTCTAACATGGTCTAACCATCTGTTGTTCAAAAGCTCGTGGGCGTCCTCTACCTGTACGATGCGGCCCAATAGTCGAGCCTGGCTCAAGGGGCATAGATGGATCCCCTGCTCACCCGCCAGCCCAGCCAAAAAGAAGCACACCCAGTCCAAAGCTTCCAACACTCAAGTACAAAAGAACTAATCCATGTGTGTCTGGACGGATGGATGGATGGATGGATGGACGGATTTCAATGACAGATTCTATGACTCTCCACCTTTTCTCCACATTCCCCCAGCAACCAACCCTCCACCCTTCGCCCTAGCCAGCGGCCAGCACAATGGCTCGCCCATCTGCCCGGGCAGCTTCTGCCAAAGCCATCGCTCTTTGCTCCAAAAACGGAGTCAACTCCTCTTTCTTCGTCCGCTGAGCACACACTGCGGCTGCGTTCACTGCGTCGACCTTGAAGTTGGACACACGCTTCGCACCAGGGCGGTCCAACAAGGGGCCGACATACCTGAGCTTCAGGGCGCCACTTTTGGCGACGTCTGACCCTCAATGTCTGAAGCTACAAACTTCCGTCCTTGCATGTCCTTGCCATATTTGTTTTGGAAAGCGCGACTTTTCTTGATCAAGCATGATACAAATGATCCCATCAATCAGCACTGGCAACTCTCCACACCCAAAAGGCACTCGTTGGCTACCTGGGCAAGGAATATCTTCCGAATTGAACATGCCGAGGGTCGTTGTTCATAACCCTCTCAACTGCACGGTCCGTTGCCCTATTCTTTTCAAAGCAGCTGTGCGTGGTATCTCTTTCCCTTTCAGCGATTGGATTCTGTTTGGTTCCATCTGGTCTTCATATCGGTTTTTGATGTGTTCCAAGAACAATTCTCTTACACAAAGCACCAGCTTGTCCACTTGATGATTCTCCAAACCAGTGACGAAAAGTGATGACCAGCATATGCTTCTCGCAGCTCTGCCGGACAGGGATCCGCCAAGAAGTCCAAGGTGGTCACGAGGGTCATCTGGGACAGCAAGCAACTTCGTAGAAGGCCAAGTGGTTTCAGCGTGTCCTCCACATGAAGCTCAAGCCCATAGACCCTCTTCAAACGTGCCAAGCAATCAAAGAGTCCTCCAGGGTTGGTGAGGTAGAAAGCTTGGTTTGATCTTTATAATGTGATTGCCATGGATTTGCCTGAGCATCTGCCGAACGCAAAGAGGACTTCTAATCCCGAGTCCTTGAAATTGAGATCGCTCTTCTAGAAGCTCCTCGGCGGTCAAGCCCAAAGCCCTCAAAATGTTTTCCCAAAAGAGCTTCGCACTGCCTGGCCCTGCCGTCGTCAGCAAAGGCACGCATGGCACTTGGACCACCTTGGCCGCCAAGGGCGCTTCCAAGTTGACGATGGGGCAACACACCACCAGGTCAGCGCAGATCTCCCGTAGCCAGCGAAGGGTCCCAGGCAGCTTGAGTTCAACCGCCAACTCATGAAGCATGAGCCTCGCACAAATAAAAAACCGCTGAGTTGCTGAGGGTAGAAACTCTTTGGAACAATGAGGGAGTCAAGCGAACTGTAGGCCGTGGAAACCCCTCCGTGGATCCAGATTGCCAGAATCAAGTGCTATCAAGCTTGATGGATCCCACTTGTAGGAGTGTGTGGTCTTAAAACCACGTTCCCTGACACTCTTTTGACTTGATTTCTTTGGAATCAGGAAGTGTTGGGGCAGCCCTTGACCTTCCCATTCTATAGACAGGTATTGGATCATCAGATTATCAAGCACTCCAGGTGACACTCTAGATTCTAGGTGATATCTACTCTGTCTTAGGTCATGCTACTATGGCTATGTCCGTTCTAGGTGCGTGGTTGTTTCCTATCAGGGTTGAGTAGTGGATGGTACAGTGAGGGGATGACACGCACATTGCCTGCTACAAGAAGCTACTTGATGTTCTGTGACTGATTGTGGTTCGACTGACGAACTCATCAACCTCTATCTGTTTGCTTTCTAACAGGGTTGGATGTCATCATCCTAGCTCTATAAATCCTTTCCTGGCCAACCCAGTTTACCCCACATGACAAGTCTCTCAAGGTATGAACTTCGTAAAGGGACAAACAATACCCGATCATTCTCGCAGAATTTGCTTGATGTATGCTACAAGTATGTGTAATAGGTATATAGGAAGCTCTCCAGCCCTGAAAATCAAACGCAAACATCAGTTGAGGGTTGAGGAATGAGGCCAAGGCTATTAAGAGCGATGGCCTCCAACCTAAGAGCGATGGCCTCCAACCTAGGAGCGGGGGCCTCCAACCTAAAACTGATGGCCTCCAATCTAAGATCGATTGCCTAAAACCGATGGCCCCCAACCTAAAGCCGATGGCCTCCAACCCAAGAGCGATGGCCTCCAACCTAAGAGCGATGGCCTCCAACCTAACCGTGATGTCCTCCAACCTAAGAGCGATGCCCTCCAACCTAACCGCGATGTCCTCCAACCCAAGAGCGAGGGCCTCCGACCTAAGAGCCATGGCCTCCAACCTAAAATCGATGGCCGCCAACCTGTACTTGGAGCAATCTTCCAATTTTGAGAAACACCCCGGTCGCGTCGTCGGCGTCGCCCAGCGTCGCGTCAAGGCACCGTCCCTTTGACAAACTCTCATTCGTCATGCCGTGCTCCTCTTGCAGCGACTCTATTGCCCCGTACCTGCTGGGCCACCGTGTGAGTTCCACGGATTTGTGTACTTTGTGTGCTGGGAATCTTGAAAACATAGCGAGATGAAGGACATCACCAAAACGAAACACAGGCATTGAAAAAACAATCTAACAGATTTATCAGCTATATATAATGGTATAATAACATTATGTATTATAGATCAGATCTACTATGACGAGATGAAACAAAATGAAGCAAACACATTGTCAATGCCAAATGACAGAGATGGCTTGCGGTTTTGGTAGAGCTCAAGCTGTACCTCATAGTCATTGTGATATCTAGCGCCAGTATCTTCAATGGCTTCCCTCATCTGTTCTCGGCACAAGTAGTGAACCGCATGTCCCTGGCTGACCAGTGCACGAGCGATGGGCAAAGAGGGATTCAGATGGCCAGACTGCATGGGAAAAATGAACGCAAAGCTGTATCTCTTGCGGCCATCGGCCATGTTTCTGCTGTGCCCCAAGGCTCTCTCGGGTCTCGCCACAACTCCTTGAGCCGACCCCCGACCTTGTGTTCAGCATTGCCTTCATGCTCACATGATATGCACAAAGATGTGCAAAGTATAGAGGCGTTACCAACGGTGCCTCAGTAGCCCAACCAAATGGTTCCGGCAATGCACCAAGTTTGACCCTCAACTGCCCTCGACCCAACCTCCGACAGCTGTGATCAGCGAGACATCAAGTACGTACGTGGCACCACAGAGCTCTACCACCACATGTCACTACAACATGCACCTCACGAAAGTGCACTTGAAATCCGGCCGGGCCCACATCTTCTTAGGCCAAAAATCCACTTCAAAGCCGATTCGGGTCTTCCACCCAACGCCAGTCGCCTCCGCTTCGGGGACTTTCCCTCTCCCTGCGTGCGTACCTATCCCACGCAAACCACGGCATCGCAAACGGCGTCGTAGTCGTAGCAAGACCCGCTCCTTGGAGCTCAGGTGCGGCAAGACCCGCCAATCGCCCTGGGCAGCTGTACGCTCCGAGACCGCTCCCTTGACGATGACCCAGCCGCTCTCCTGGCGGAGAAGGGCCCCATAACAAGAAGGGGATGAGGCATGGATCCAGGCGCCTGGATAAGGCCCTTCTTGGGTGTGGATCGTGGGGATGATGCATGATTGAAAAAAGGAGAGGGTGTAGGACACCCAGGTGTAGCGCATCAAGAATGGTGTCGAACACCTGATCACCTGATCACTTCGTGGATTTTCCTTGTAATATTGTAATGCTGACGGGCTGTAAACTGTAGGCAAGCAGGATTACAAAAACATACCTGGACACCCAGGTGCAAATCCTTCATCTTGACATATCTTGTCTTAGTAGTTTTGAAATTGATCGCCGTCCGAAACCTGCACTTCCAAAACCAACTTCCAGGGGGTTGCCTCGATCATGGACGGATCACACAGATCATCTTCCAGCATGGTCATCATCGGATGCTTCGCACCGTTCGCAGCGAATGCTTCGGTGGTTGGGTCACTTGCTTCGGTTGGAGCGGAAGACAAAGTCAGGGGCCACAGCACTGCAGTGGTCCTCTGTTAAGTTCTAGCTGCTTTGAAACTGCTGGTCTCGGTGCTTGTCACTGGTCTTGGCGGTTGCTGGTTGCGGATGAGTAGCCCATGGAGTTTGTACATGGAACTGCCCACATTGGAATAAGCCAGCCAAAGCTGCAGGTTGGAATAGAACATGCTAGAATGCACAAAAAGGTTCTGATCGGTTCTGATTCTTCATCAACCAAAGAAATCCAAAGAAATGGTCCCTAACTATAGTCAAGCAAGCGTGTGTTTTCTATGAGTTCCGAATGCCTACCATCGGCCACGCAATTCATAGACTCATCCATTGGGGCATCGTCGGGGCTCAAATACTGTAGCCCCAAAACCTTGAACGCCACGGGTGTGAAAGATGCATGTTTTATATCATTATGTTAATGTTCATGAATGATCCTGCCCAATGTAGGCATATATGGCAGTCCCATGGAGTGTCTGGGAATGTTCATAACATTTCAAAACCCATTGTAGCTCCAAAACCTCCACTTGGGGCCATGAACTGGGGTCAGCCAAGTAGGTCCCGAGCTCTTGGACCAAGTAGGAGACCAAAGACCGGCACAGCTCCATGGTCCTGCCGACAACGGGCGCTCCATCGACATCCGTTCCATGCAACCCTTCCAAGAAACTTCAACAAAACTTCAACACTTGAATGGTTTCAATCGTTTCTTGTGCCATGGTGCTTTCCATGTTGTTTTTTGTTATTTCCCCTGGATCTCTCTCCATCTGGCTCCGACCCTTTGGTAGAACGGCCGAGCCGTGCCTGTCGGAGTCCTCCGCCTCCTCTAAAACCTCCGAGAGCCCTGGCCTCAGTCGGTGATTGAGGTGGAGGACTCAGCCGGGCACCCCACAAACTCAATCAAACATGTGTAAAGATTGCCACAGGATCTTCAATCTGCACCAAAGCAGACTTGGATTGAAGAAACTTGATGCACAACAAGCACGAGACCCTGAGAACCCAGCCACTCCAGCTTATCAGCAGCCCTGCAAGTGACTTGCCTGCACAAGGCACAGGTGTTAATCTCATCAAGTGATCCACCAATTTAAGAAGCTAGAAGTGACTGCTGCCACTGCAGTACAGAACAATTGAGTGTGAGCTCAAATCGCCTTTTGAAGGATCTATCTTGGGTTCATCGTGTTCATTCTCTGAACCACCCATGGAACAATTCCCGGTACCGGTGACCGGGGGAAAAACAGAAAAAAACACCTGGCCGTGACAAGCCACTGACATGTTCAACAAGTGATGGGATAAAAAATACCTGGTTGGTGTTTTCAACCCACTTGAAACATATGAGTCAGAGGGTCCAATCATCCCCAAGTAAGGGTTGAACATAAACATATACGAAACGATCACCTAGATACACGATGTTCCTTTTCTTTCCGCATCGGTCGCGAGATGTCGCGAGTCATGTTCTCCTGCACGGATGACTGCCGGGATGGCACTCCCAGGATGAGAAAGCCTGGATTTAGTGCCCCAAATCCAACCACCTCAGACAACTGACCAGTGTCTTACCGTAGTTCCGCCCAGTGTCTATGAATATCTATGAAGTGCCTGTCAAAAGCTGTTGAATAGAAAACTGTTTGAATAGTAACGTGTATTAGGCCAATAAGCTGATGGGAGTGTTTGTCAGACTCTGTCGTTTCCAAACCCCTTACAGGGGGCCCCTTACATACAACAACAGAGTTGCGGGCCTGTGGAGCCCCCATCATTGGACCAATAAGACTTCGGGTGCTGGTTGGTGTCCTGGAATAGATTTATATATATATATATATGTTATATGTCTTATATCTCAGTTGGCACCTCCCTACCCATCCAGGCTGGCGCACTCTAAAGGAGGTGCATCGGGCAAGTAGCAATACCTGTAGTAGCCTCAGCACATCAGAGCACGTCAGCACACCCTCAGCATCCCACAGATAACGTTACATATATTTCTCTTCCATCAGGATTCCCCGATTCTTCTGCGCAAAGAGAAGCATCAAACACCTTTGGTCAATTACTTGTAGGGGTCATCGAGCTGGAATCTGGAACTCAACTGAAAATAGAGCTTGAAATCACAGGGATACTGTGACAGCTGTTCTGGCACCCCTGATCTATGTATATCACCGCCACCACTAGCAAAAAGCAAATCACAAGCTTGTTGAGGGAGTGTTTGCGCATCATGACTCAAGCTTGAAACCTCGAAGGACTTTCGGCCATGTCTGGCCCTGCAGAATCCGTGTTCCAGGCCAACTTCACCGCCGCCCAGATCCAAATAGTGCCTCAAGACCCAGGAAAGTTCATAAGGCCGAACAGTGGGAGAAAGCACGATCACTGCAGTGCTTGCTGTGGGAAAAAAAGGCTCCGCCGTGATTGCAACGCTCAAGCAACGCTTCAATTCCCCATAGAAGCAGAATGTATATAGAATGTCATCCCAAACCAACATTTGCTGGGATAAGTAGAGTTGTGGTCTATCCTAATGCCTGTAACAGCGGACGATGATGGTCAGTAAAGGCCTTGTTCAAAAAATAGTTATAATTGTTTACTGACTGTTGTTACAGGTAATGGGACAACCCCAAGTAGTAATGGGACAACCCCAAGTAGAGTCACAATGTGAGTAACATCATGTAACATCTGTTTGGCCAACCGTGACTGACTGTGGGTGAGGGAAGGTTTCATCCCTTGATGTAACAGGAAGCAACAGAACCGTACTAGAATCTAGAAGCTTAAGAAGGGCGTATATTTTAGCATGGATGGGAGGGGGCAAACTGGGACAATCACGCTGCTGGTGATTGTAAGAAGCCAGCGAAAGTCTTCACAAACTCCCTGTTATCTCAAACCCTCCATGTCTGCTCAATCAGTTTAAAAATAGTATTACTTACACTATTACTTACTGTACTTCCATAATTAATCTGGTAATCTTGGACAAGTCAGCTACAAAATGATTCTTTACCCCTTCTCACCACTGAGTCTCCACGCGTCTCTGGACCCTCCAAGACAGTGGGATGTGCAAGGCGCCTCGTCTCCGTCTTCTCGCTTTGTTTCAAGGAAGTTTTCTGGTATCTCCAAACTAGGTGAGTAAAGTCAGCAGATAGCTGAGGAAGGTATATGCCAGGGATATACTAGGTATATATTATCTATTTGTCCTATGCATGGACCTAGTATAGGCCATGAACACTGAACAGCTCAACTGGAGAAGAAGAACTGAGAAGACTGTTTTCCTCATGCAGGAGTCCACGAGCAACGTTCAACTCACACTGCTTTGCAGTGTTAGCGTTTGGCCTTTTTGGCCTTGGGGCTGTGTCTCTTATGTTTATTATCTTTTTTCTTGTCTTTTTTCTTGTCTTTTTTCTTGTCTTTCTGAGCATGAATATGTCGTTTCTTCCTCCTCAAGGGTGAATCAGTCACAATGCTGTCAGCATCACTAGGGCTGTCCAGATTCATGTCAAACAACTCGTCCAGCCCTGGATTCGGATGGTCTCGCGAGCCACTGGCTGCGGCAGGTTCATCTCCTGAATCCACTGCAGCAGCATCATCTGAACCTGAAGTGTTGAAGTGACTGCACATATTAATATTACATATGTTCAGAATTAAATAAAATAAATACATTAAACAAATGAATTTGAAACAAACAACTAATGGCAATAATTGGCTAAGAAACCTTCTTCCTTGTTCTGACACGCAAATGCTTCTGCAAGCGCTGTTTCAACCCGTGCTGGATCTGGCTTTTGGCTGCAATCCTTGGATTGGACTGCTGCAAGAATTGAATTAAAATAGTATGAACTTTCATCAATATATGTATAACAAACAAAAAATGACCAATGCACGTAGCTCTGCCCAGTGTCTCTTCCCTTCTCCTCATGGTTGCGCCAAAGAAACTCTAAACAATAGTTTAGAGCAGACAGTTTGCTTCGTGCGTTGTCTTGCCCTTGGTCATCACCACTCTTCTTCCACTTCATGGATACTGACTTTGTAGGTCTCCCTGCTGGATAGTAAGCTTCAAACGATGATAAACCCACATCCATGCAAAGCACACATTGCTTCCATTGAGGTCGTAAATTCTTGATCGCCTCCGGCGTAGAGTGCTCTCGTTCGCCTCTCACTCCCACCTTCCTGGTAACCTCTGCTTTGAATTTCTCGGACATCATTGCCTTGTCCACACTGTTTCTCAGAGATTCAAAATCAGCTTTGACTTCTTCGTGAGGCATTGCATTCAGCGCCTGATCGATGATTTCGTTTGGCACAACCTCTTTGACTTTGGCCTTGCCCATCAATTCCACTAACATTTCCATTTTCTCATCAGCAGATTTTTCAGGAAAGACGTGGAGTATCAGGCTCCATAGCAATGACCTCTTGCCAATGGACTTCTCCTGAATCTTGACAATCTTGGCTTTAGTGCGGGCAACCAAGAGCTTCAAGCGTTCGTCTGTGATACCAACCAATGCTCCGTTGCAGAGCATATAGCGAAGAAGAGATTCTGGTGATTCTGTTTGCCGAAGTAGGATGCCATGATGTCGATGTCCACGCGGAAGGTCATCAGGACTGCCTCAGTCTCAATAGAATTGTACAGTTAGAGGTTTACTTACTGCAAAGCAAGTTAAATGTCATTAGTAATCGTCTGATTCAAAATTTAATTTTGACTCATTGACCATATTGTATACCAATCAATAAAACAAACTAATACATAGCTGTTGGAGAAGAAGCCCAGTGACAGAAGCTGAATGGGATGCCTGCAAACTCTTCATTTTTGTCTGTCCGCTGTAGCCCACTCAGTCCTGTGACAATCAGAGTCTGAAGATTTGCAATCGCAGAGTAGTGATCATCACAAGCCGGAGACTTCCAGTACGCAATGGAACCGTCCTGCAAATCAACCTTCTCTAATCTCCACCCCAAGCAAACATATTCTTGGAACCCAAGGCTGACAAAGCACTGATTGTCTGCTTTCCGCTGGAACAATTGCCCACGTTGCAGCAAACATGAAAGCCACATATCGCCGAGCCCAGCAAAGCAGAAATCGCGCGAGTGCTTGAGTGCCAGATATGCTGCGACTGCTCTCTCTTCAGCCTCTGTTCCGGCTGGCTTCACTTCCTCAATGACGGGCCAACTGTCATGCGAAACCAAAGTGAGTCAGGCTGAAAAAAGATCCTAAGTACAGTAAATACAAATAAATACAAATAGTTCAAAACAAATCCTGCAGAGGTAAACAAACCAGCTCTTAGATTGTTTCAAAAGTGGTTGAACTTTTTAAGCAAATTGTCATGTTGAACAAAGCCTGGCAACATCATCTGGTTGCGTGCTCGACGCATCTTGTTTGATCAACCTAATGATCTTGCTGACCAACTCTGAAGATTTTGCTGATGCTTCACGTTCTTTCCTTGGCTTGAAATCATCCACGGTGATTTTCTGAGTGTGTCCGTAGGCAGCAAGATCACCCGGCATCAACCTCAGTCTTTCACACGGCAACGAGTCCAATCGCTTTGATTCCGCTGCGCAATACATGGCCCTCGTGAGCCTCATGTCCTTGCGCCTGTTTGCACGTGAAGCATTGTTCAGCTCTTGCAAAATGTCTTCCTGGCTGTGTTTTGTGGTTGAAGGCCCGCAAAACATTCGCCAAACAAATCTCCAGATTGAGCTTCTCAGCCAATTGCACGCGCGACATTTCGCAATGATGAGTCGCACCAGCTGCAAGCGTGGCCACCACAATTGGTCGAGTGCTTGCTTCAGAGCCTTGATTGAAAAGTAGTAGTCGATTCATTGACAATGGCTAGGTAATAACTATATAATATATATATATTACACTATATAGTAATGGTCAGAAGAAAACTATTGGTCAAAGCCTCAGCAACAACCCTATCATCATTCATCGGGTTCTCGAAAGCCTCATCTGCCTCCAAGTAAATCTTGGACATCAAAACAAACCGATCCATGCAATCTCGTGATCTGCCCTGATCTTCATCCAACAATCCACAGAGAGCCTCTGGCAAAGTGTGAGTGAAGCCTAGCATATACCAGGCCCTCTCCGCCGCAATGCTTACAGTCAATGTCCAAAATGCAGCAATGTTGGAAAGGCGGCCTTCTGGTGAAACTGCTTCTCCACTGCACTCGGTGCGACGAAGGACTGTTACGTGGTGCAGCTGGGAGAATAGTGTAGCAATTTCTGAGCGTACCCAAGCCATATTGGATCGTTCTGCTTGGTATTGAATGTTTTGGCTGCAGTCGGTGGAGCAATGTAGGGATTGCAAATGAGAAGCAAAGATTGGACTCTGCACATAGTCCACCCTCAGTCAAACAGTGACTCCAGTGACAGCGAGTCAGTCATTATGGTGGCGGTTTTTAAATTTGAATCTTAAAAAAATATATAATAATTTGTTTGTTTGATTTCAGTTAAACATTCAAAGATAGCCCCGCCAATCTTGCTAAAACAGCCAAGACGCATTCGTCCTTTGATTTGCAAATCAAACATCTGCAGAATTACGGTTGATAGCTGCAAATTGTTCATGTTTGCAGTGTACGCAGCACGCTTGATTGCCTTGATGTCAAAATTCTCATCGTCGTCCTCCAATCCAATGTGTTTGAACACTATGAATCAGAGATTAGATCAAACGACCCGGTGTAGATGAATCTATTGACTGATTAAACTTCTGATAGTTTTTTTCTGAAGACCCATGACCAGCAGCTCCTGCACAACATTGTCAACAGAGGAACGATCCTTGCCTTTCAAGTCTCCGCAAAGTTGGTTTAACTTGAGGTCAGTTGTCCAGGTGGAATCCAGGCCACCATGTGTACTCTGCCGGCTTGGGTCATTCACTGTGTCGATCGATATCTCAGGCAGTTCTGAGTCAGACCCTGACAAAGTTAACCCACGAAAGCGGACAAGCCAAGAAAACCACCTTCGCTGAGTGACCTCAGAAGCCAAAGGCTCCACACAGAAAAACGGGCGCTTGACTTAACAAACACCTTTGCTTTCTCAGTGAGTGAAGTCAGTAGTGTGTAATCGAAAGAAATGAATATCATTACCAATGAATTCAAGAAGCTCGGTCTTGGGGTCTGATAGCTTGTGCTGCAGCATCCAGAAAGAGACTGTGCAATTCGCGATCGCTTGGGCGACTACGCAAGTTGAAGTCCCTGACTAAGTTGTCTGAAAATTCCAGGAATTCATCGCTATCTGGGCCGAACACTTCCTCAAAGAGCATCATCGCCTTTGCTCGTGCGTGAACAAAGCTCTCATCTTGGAATGCACCGCCGCGGTTGACATTCATAGGCGTTTTCAAGGTTGGCACAAGACCTGACTGTCGGCCGGTCGCGCATTGCATCACATGAATGAACTAACACAGAAGGCTAGCAAATAAGATTTCAGAACAATTGCAAAAAAGCAAAGCATCTGGAATCTGAAACAAGGCGAAACACTGGCAAACCCTGCTGCATTCATTCCTTTGGTGATGCAGTTGCTGTCCATGTGTAATGAGTCGCCCCGAAGTGCCCCGAGAATCTTGCTCTTGTACAAAAGCCAGTGGACGTTTTTCGTCCTGAATGAACAGTGAGAAGCAAGAGTGTGCTTTGACAGCGGCTTGATTTTTTAACGACTAAGATGATACTGATTTGCAAGGATGGAAGAAGAACTTACAAAATGAAAACACCAATTGAATCAAGAAGAAGCTCTGTGAACCTTCGCGGTCTGCAAAGAAAATAATGAAACGTTCCTTCTCCAAGTCCACATCTCTCAAAGCCGTTGGGTCCATGGCCAGCGGATCCAGATCAGAGAACTTGCTTTGGAACATGTCCAGGCTAAGATTGAATTCTCCCAAGCAAGAATCTAGTGTCAGGAGCGCATCAATAGGAGCTCTCTTCTTTGCTTGATGTCCTCTTCGTGCCTTTTTGTTTGCTGATGCTGCTGCAGCGGAATTGGTCCGAGCTTTGGCCTGAAGGAATGGAGGAAAGAGACCCCCATCTGATTGAACTCGCTGAAGTCCAATATGTTTAATGAAACAACTCATTCATTGATTGGTTGACTGAGCAAG